CAGATTTTCAATCATCATACCATAGAGTTCTTCAGAACACCTCCTCAACTTCTAAATTACTTTCAAATACTTGCTTAATTATTATTTTTGTTTTAGAAATCTTGTGCTACAATCTGACTTAATATTTCATTCTCACCCTACTCCTTGGAAATTTTGATCCTCTAGTTATCCTCTTACCTTTAGATAATTGATTGCTAATTTGCTTTTTTCTATTATGGAGAGAATCTTTTCTGCATGACAATAAGTCTTCGAAATATGATAAGCTTTGCTTCATACCTCAGTGTGTGGTCAATTTTCAGAAGTGTTCTTTCATGCTTAAAATGTACTCTGCTGTTGATGAATGCAATTTAAAGTTATCTACTAGATCAAATTGGTTAATTGCATTATTAAAGTCTTTTGTATCCTTAGTGATTTTTTTCTGCTTAATTTATCAATTACTAAGAGAAGCACATTAAAAATCTCCTGCTCAAATGTTGCATTTGTCCATTTTCCCTGCAATTCTATGCCTTTTAAAATGTATTTTGAAGCTAGTATGGAACAGATAAGTTTCTAGTTCTTATATCTTTTAATTGTTGAAGCTTTATCAGGATATGTAGAAATATCCTTTATTTCTAGTAATGCTATTCCCTTTGAGGAGACAGTAATGTTTATGGATATGAAATCTAATCCCTTTGCCTTCTAGTTTTCTTATTGATCCAGCTAAATGGAGGCACCAGATAGATCCAAGGGAAGTGGGAATGTCTCTTGATCATAGGCCAAACTTCTGCAAAAGGTTGTCTTCTACAGTTGCATGCTTTGTTTTGACTCCTTCTTCTTTAGGAGAAGTGTTGGTAATGATCCCCATGCCCACCAACCACATTGCTAACTGTGAACTTCTTCATACTTCGTTGTTACTTTTCCTTAATATATTTGTGAATTAGTTCATGAATAAGCTGTTCTTCAATTACATGGATTGAGGGAAAGTAGTTTATCTATTTCATGCAACCCATGATATATAAGAAATTTGACAGAATATTTTCCAATTTATATAAAGAGTCACAAGTTTCCCAGCAGGAATAAACTGCCACCCTGCCTCTGTACACAGCTACTTCCAAATCTTGAGATGTTATATAAAACACACTGTTTATATGTATCAATGTTGGAATCAACTTGGGTGCATTTGATGATAAGTAAGACAAAATCCAAATAATTATAACTTGAGTTTCTGAGAATCGCAATTCTTGAATATGTATTATGAAAAGAAACACATTTTCCTAGAAAATCTTCTAATATTAATGTACACATGCATCCATTTATGCAAACCAATTCAAAAATTGCAGGTATACATGGTGCATGCACTGAACATATACTTTCTACTATGTACTCTTTTGTTTCCAAAAAATTCTAGTTGTCCATTATTTTAGTCAGCTTTCTCTACTATGACCAAAAGATAAAATAAGAATAATTTTAGAGGAGGAAAAAATGTATTTAAGAGCTCACAATTTCAGAAGTCTAAGTGCATAGCCATCCTCCATTCCTCAGGTTCAAGGTGAAGCAGAATAA